ATACTAAGAATTTAAAAAAAAAGACCGGCACGACGATTGCGCCACTGTTACTCAAGAAGTCGCTCCTTTTCTGGTTTGATCTTTTAACTCAACTAGTGATAGCATAAAAACATTGGAAATTCCCAAATCATTTAAAAAGTCTAACAGAACATACGTCCAGACTCTGACGAAGGCGAAGTCGCCGAAATATCAACGATCGAATTGCCTTCAAGATTTACATTTATTCTGGAATATTTCTATGCTAGCGACAACCTTCTGCAAAAAACATTTTAGAGGTCTCCCTTCCATGTGAAACCCACCGCTTAACTAACTAGTTTCAGCTAGTTAACTAACTTTAACTAATTAAGCGGTAGGTTCCATGTAATAGGCAAACATCTGAACTCTTTCTTGCATTAGATTCTTTCTAGACAGGTGATATTAACAGGATAATTATACATGATATGATACAGTACGTCTCAGTTGTGAAAAAGATCGTCCAAGTTAGCCAACAATTTGAAGAAAGTATACTAAGTTTGCAAAAGCCTGATTTAAAAAAGGGCCGTTCATAAGATACTGCCCGAAATACTTTTGCACTTCTGTACAGAATGAATCTTTGACTCGTGAGAGCGCACCATAGAAGTCTGCATGATTTCAGCTGACAATGTGGTTTTCAATAAAGAGACAACAGACTGTGTTCTGCTTTCTTTACGATCTCATCCTTGGTGGATAAGATATGCTATTTGCAGCTGGTTTGCCCACACATTTTCTACCCCCATACAATAGACGAGCTTTTATGATCATAAATATCGCTGTATTCCAATAAATATTTGCTTTCTTTCATTAGTGCCATTTAGTCATTTATTAAAACTCGTTTTGTTCAGTTGTGGTTGAATTTCGCTTTATAGATTCTTGCAGGCCGATATAAAAGCCTTGCACTCGATCAGAAGAAACAATGTGAGCAGATAACTGTGGATTTTGTTCTCTCACATGCTGTGTGCTTTCTTGATCCTTGTTCGGGCTCGCCCTGTGTGAATGTGACTTGGCCTCAGAGTTTCTCAAAAAAGGTTGGTATCGTTTTGAACTACTTTTTGCCTTTGATGATGTATGTAGAGCGAGCCAGTTTTTTGTAGGTATTACTGTTTTCCCTCGCGGCGGAAATCTGATTGAGAAGATTGCTATTAGCACTCGTAGACTCATGCCAGTAAGAGTCTTATAAGCAAAACATTATAATTTTAGCTTCATTACTTTCGGAGCTGTTAAGGCTTCGTCTTTCCTGGAATCTCTTCTAGGTACAAAGAATGTCTACCTTCAATTTACACTGCTTCTGATGGTTTTTGGGCTTCTATGCTTTAAGATCAGACGCATTTTCAGAGTATATTCTGCGCAAGTTTTTCGATTCGCTTGAGTCACAGGAAGTGCACTTTATGGAAACACTTTTGCGATAGCACTTACTAAAGTTTGAGAATCATTCAACACATCCTTTTGATAGCTATCGCCGTGAAGTTGGGCCGTCATAAGGTATAAATGTAACTAGCATTGTGCATATGTTTATATTTATATGACTAATCTGTGAAGTGGAAATTTATTCTTACAGCTGATTTTATTTAAAGAATTAATTAGATTTCTGTCTCAAATCTAACACAACGGCTCTGAGAGAGGTACTGAAACGTCACTCATCGATTTGAAGGGACAAATGCCAATTTTGAGCAAGCTCTCAATGAAGATCAGTTCGCGAAACAAATGACTCTCATTCTATATTTGAGAAAAAAATCAAGAAAAAAAAAAGAAAAAAAAGGAAGTCGATCCTTTAAGATAATTCTCGATTATTATGAGAACATACATGGTTCAGCACGCTCAAATGCATTGCATGGAACTGAGAGTAGGACAAGTCACGTTTGCTGACATTCTTCTACAAGCATTTTGTAAACTGGCGAAAGCTTATGCAGACAAAGAGGTGTGCATTTTTGAGTGTATCAACATAATTTGGAGTTCTTTTAAGCTCTCATAGGTGATGAGTCTTCTTCGAACCAAACTCCAGCAACCACAAGACATCAAGTGGGCTTGTGTTTGTAGTGAAACACGTAAGCTTTCGAATGCGATATTACAGTTAATATGTAGAATTACAGAGATGACCAGTTACCACCTCCACATCTCAAAGTACGATTGAATGAGCGACTATATGCTCAAGTATCAAAGCTGTCTTGCAATATTAGCTGCTCGTTGACAAGGCTTGTAACAGAGGTGTTGAAATTGATGCATACTTTTCCGTGCAATCTATACTCACAAGAAATTGTTATTCATAGACTCCAACATCGCTAAAAGTGCTGATTAATTGCTTAGCAGAGTAATTGTAGAGACTTCAGAACAGCGGACTCCTAAGTTCCTCGATGACCTTCCATCAGATCACTACAAAGTTTGTACTTGAATAAAAGAAAGAGGATAAAGTATTTGCCATTTGTCAATACCTCAGCGTTATATCATGCATTTGACTCTATCTATAGTAGTGACGCACACGTGCTATCTGACCTCTACAACGACATCTATCAGTCAATCAATATATCAAGTCACTATTTCATCCTTCGAGACAAGTTTGGCGGCGGTTACCACTCCAGTAGGGATGCCTAAATGATTAGTCACCTAAAGTGTGGGTTGGAACTGATTACGATATGTGCTGAGGAACTCTAACCTTTGCGTTACACATGCAGTGTGTCAATACTGCATACTATTCATTTCTCCATATATTGATTCGCTTTCGGTCAACATGTTCCATTCGACAGATCTTTGTGGTCGGTTTGGCTGCGTACTCCAAGGCGTGTAATTGCGTGTGTGGAGCAGTGGTTAGAGGTGTGACACACACGTGTTTGGTGGTTCGATTCCATGCCCAAGGGTTACCAAGCTTTCTACCCCTCTGTGGTCAGCGAATCGTTGCTAGACTTGTATGAGAGGTTAGCAACACTGACTTGAGACAGCGGTAGGCCACCGCGAGCTATTGTAAGGGCTCTATATGCTCCACTCACTTTGAACGATGCTTGTCGATGTCGAGTGAATCTGTCCATCAGTGATTTATCATCGTTTAAGGCTTTCCTCTTGTCCTTTCGAGCCTCTCTAACATTTATCTCCAGACCGATACTGTGTAGGCTTATGCAAGAGCTGGCGTCGCAGTACGAAAATTACAATAAAGAAGACCTTAATGAATGTTAGTTTCACTCATTTTGTTACCATTTATTTATTCATAAAATGTTTATTCCTTCTTTTCACTTAGCTCTTCTATCAAAAATGTAGAATTTGTCATTGCTGAAGCGATCCCCTTGAGAGTTAGCCGCAATTACTAAAGGGTGAGGCTGAGTTCAAAATGAATTGTTCGTGAATTAGGAATAACAGATAAGTTTGACTCATCTCGTCCTGATTAAGAGGATAAACAGACACGTTGTCAAAGAGGGCATCTCTTTTCTATTTTTTGTTGTAGTACTCAAAATGGATACTCTTGCCACATCTAGACAAATCACTGGATCCTATGTCAGACGTTTTGCGGAAATTAGACTCATAGCGGAGGAAGTTCGCGTGATGGTAAGCTAACACTTTTTCGCTTTGAATTTTTGACTGCACCTTAATAAGAGAGGTTCTCTAATTTCATTTCGTTTATGTTCAAAGTTACAAATTGTTATAAATTATATTAGCGTCTATAAATTAATTATGGCGTATCATTGCTGTGAGTTACAATGTCAATATTGGAAATCTTACAGGTATAAACGGTGAGAAAAGGCCAGACCATGGAGCGTAGATAGTTCTTCTGACAGAATATCTCGAAGCAAGACCAATTCTGAGTATATTTGGGCACAAGTCGATTCTCGATATCGGGTCCTATTTCTTGGTCTCAAACTTTGCTTCTGTGTTTCTTAATCTGTGATGTCGTAATTACTAACACATAAAAGGTTGAAGATCTTGGCTAATTGATGCTTGTAGTCTATTTATTTTTATTGTTTTATGCATAAACAGTTTAAACTTGTTCTCTAATCTTCTTCTTATAGACTCGTCAACCATTCTGACGTGGAAAAAATCATAACAAAAGAGACAGTAGATTAATGAACGAGACTGCAAACAACGCCGAGGTGGTGCGATCGGATCTTTGATATTGAGTCAGTGCGCCAACGTATGCTTAGCTATTCATTTCAATTACTGCAAGAATATTTTCACATCGCAGTCCTCCAGAATACATCAGAATTTAATTATGTCAATTGCTGTCTGAAATGTACGGAAGTATTTGTAGATGACTAAGTATATTCCCAGATGCATGATCTGCTCACTGCAGATATCACTCCATGTAGATGTCACCATACACCATGAAGCATGTCACTTTCCGAATGTCAACCATTTAGATGCGAGAATAGTCCGTAGAAGCGCTTGGTATTGATTAAACCCAGTGGAATGTATACGTATTCGAGTCCACTCCTACCGATGATTAGATGGATATTTGGTTACACAATGGATTTAGAGGCTCTACATTTTGATCTAATGCTTTTACTATTTTTGAGGGTCTGCTACCAATTTGCTGACTCTGTGGGGTTGGTGAGCTCTCGCAGTAGTACAGAACTTTGTTATGGTATTCAAGAACTTATGCAGTCTCAACGACTGAAAGGAATGAGATAAGTTGAATCGATTTGACCTCGAATTCATGAAATGATTGCTTATATGGAGCATGTCGATATCTCTATGAACTACATACAAGTGGAATTTTGGAGTTGAAAAGTTTCGACTCAAATAGAATCAAACAGAAATGTTTACTGTGGAAATGCATGGTCAAAAAATTCAACATCCATTCATCAAAAATGCAAGAATTCTTCTGTAGAAATAGTGGAAATTACCTAGAAGAACTTCAATATTTAATTGGATTGGCTGCGCCACATTGGAAATAAGAGAATTTATCAAACAAACTGAAGTTTTGAAAGGAAATATCATTTAAGAGGCTTTTATGAGATTAATTTCAATTTTATCTAAAAGAACTGAGTGATAGACAAAAATTGAGCCGTAAACTGAAGTTGAACCCGTGCTTCATCCATACCGGAGACGCGTGCTACCACTACACCACCGAGGCCACCGCTTACTCAACAATCGTTCTCCAATATCTCTTCATCATTGCTATCAGCCATCATAATAAAACAGCATAGCACTGTGAAAAAACAGTGAAAACAGATGAAATCTTGGAAATAAAATCAGTTAGAAGATCTACATCTTAGAAACTTTCTTTGCTTTCAAAGGGAAAAAAAACACATCCCTGCGAAAAGAACATATTCACAACTGTTGATGGACATTTTATCATATCTTATGCGCATTTAATCATGATTCTAACCTTTTTCTTGTGCCATCAGTTTACTTCAGCACAAAGAATTAATCAATAATCAATGATCTAATTGATTTGTGCTCTCAAAGTCATACATTGCCTACGGGATATTCTGATTCGTTTCACAATTGAATATTCGGCCCCACCCGCTAGGTCAGAACATTTCATAGAGTGTAAGTGATCATTCAGAATCACAAATCTTTGGCTAGCGTGGTACGTGTCCCGACTTTCGAAATAACCTCTTTTAACGCTGCAATGTCCGAAATAAGAATATGCACCACATCGGCGGTTTTTAGTATTAGAGTCAGACGTGTGGTTCTTTTCAAACGGGGAAACAATTCCAATTTGAATACCGAAAATCGCACTCCCCTGTTGCCCGCTGAAGGGCCAGTTGATTGGCGGCCATGTTTAAACTGTCGCAACTGGTCTGACTCCCTCCTCCACTTCCTTCACTTCGTAGAATAACCAAAATACCATTGCTCGCTCATGCAAAGTTCGATTTTATTTTCCTTGCTGCACTGCAGAGAAGCGCTGCTACGAGAAAGTAAGCACAGCGTTGGAATAGTTGGATTTTATGCTGTTGAATAATGATTAGTAGTCTTAAAAAAGAGATTGCCTTGCAAGAAAAACGCGTGCGTCAAATGCAAACGTTTTCTTCTCGTTGAAAGGCATAAAGACCTTTCGAAAAACGGCCACGTACCGCGCTACCCAAAGATTTAAGCTTTCGCATGGTTACTAAACTCTTATAAAATATGTTTGTCCTACAAAATGGGGTCGAATAAAAATTCGTCGCCATTTAACAGCATGAAGGTGCCGAATTTTTAATTTCGGTATCCTCTGATTAACTACAAGCTTTTAGAGACTGAAGATTAGAAAACATTGATAAGTTTTTCAAAAATGATACCATGCGCCGCTTGCGATGCCCAGACCAACAAAAACTCCTTGTGATTTTCCGCCTATTCGTAGATTTCAGAAAGTGCCATCTTCTACAATGACGGATTAGACTGTTCTACGCTTTTTGAGTACCAGTGTCTGTAACTGTCCATCCATTTTGTACTATGAACATTATTAATATCAGTGGATTTTACTGGACACAATCTACGTAGTTTTATATACTCTATGCATTCTTCAAATTAGGTCAGTACCGTGCGGGTGCTCTCCTTTACCTTCTCTTGTTCTCTACATCCCCCAGTACGCCACTGTGACCACGTGTCGGTGGTCGTCGTCCATCAGTACACCAAAGATCTCGTGGTCCGCTCACTTGCTCTCATTGTGTAAATGCCTTTGATATTATGAGTAAGTGGTTTCTCATCTGCATGGATTAATTCGCTGCGTCGTGTGATTTAATTCGAAATATCAATAGTCATTATATGCGAGACAGAATTGGATTGTTGTAAGCTGAGGAGGAATTCCATGCAAAAAGTTTCAGTTTGGGAGAACGGGTAAGCAGTGGAAATACAAAGAAGTTTGTTCATTTTCTCAGCATACCAGGTATCTCCCAGCTTAGGTATACACTTCTTTCCTGCAGACCATCATGCAAATACTTATTGAATTTGCTGTTATGTTCACAAAATATAGTAATTCCACACTTGCTATGAGATATTTCAGCAATGCATATTCTAAGATGGTTGTAATCTACGATATATCGTACACTATGAAGAAGTGCAGAGATCGAAAAGGTGTTTATAATGACTGTTGAAAGGAAACTGAATGTATTGTATATATTATTGCGATATGCTGTTATAAAATGTATGCAGGAAAGGTAGACGTTCTGAATAGTATTGCAAGGCTTCTAATCGTAAAATTTGCAAGACGAAGTGTGCCTAAATGAATATTTTGATCAAAAGGGTCAAACATCAGTAAAATTCCGCATTAGATTGCAGTGGTTGAACACATTAGTATGCAACTGCTGTTTATGTGTAAGACCTGTCGCTCGGACAATGCTGTTAAGCGATGCTAATTGCACAAGTTGTTGTTTGTTGAATAGAGCAAAGATTTACGACTTCAGTGAGATTTTGGCGAATATTGGTAAGAAATCCTTGAAAGAACAACTTTACGAGTCTACATGTGTAAGCTTTATAAATTCTCACTCCGACTGCTTCCAAAAAAATTGGTGCATATTAATAACTGATGTAAATCGTGCTTTGTGGGAATATGTTTTCGAATTACATATTCATAACAATGTCGAAAAAATTTCTAAATAAAAGTTGGAAATGGAATGTTATGAGGAAGATATAGCTGTCGTGCTGTACAGTATTTCAGAAGAGGTAGGTGTATCAAAAATAAGGAAACGTGTGTGGAAGTCATTCCAGTGATATTGTATCTTCTCGTGGGGATGAAGTATCCTCAAGCTTTAACTTTCGAGCACCAGCAAAGTCGCAGTGAAGCTCAAGCAGCGAGCCAACTTTTCCCGAAAGCAAAACGTAATTTCTTTTTGTCACTCTAGTATTTTACTGCTTTTTTCACAATGTAATAATGATCGAGCAAATGTGCCTCGGTGGTGTAGTGGCAGAGCGCGCGTCCCCGGATAGAATAGAACGCGGGTTCCCTGCTGAGATCATGTTTTTGCTCACCACTCAATTCTCTTAGGTAACTTCTTCTCGTTAGTAAAGCGTATTATGAAGGCTTTTCCAGGAACTAGGTTGAATGTAAGAATCTGTATTGCTCAAGCGAAAATTTTACTCAAACCTATGTAACGCGAGGAAACCACGGAAAGCTTATTGTGCTGGAAATAACTCATTACATCCCTAAAAGGATGAAGATATTTTCTCCATGAGATTTGGCATACCATTGTTTTAGCAATGGAACCTATTTATGCTTTTTACCTGACTAGAATGGCTGTTCTTGCAATATCTGCGTTGGCTAGTTGTCCTGCCAAGTGCAGTGACTCCTCACTTCCATACTGTGCAAGCACTTGAAGCTGCTCGGTACATGCTTTAGACATCTGTTTTTTATGTGTGAGGGAATTGAAAAAAGGTGGTGTTCTAAAGTGTGCTTCTGTTGCTTGGCAATCAAAATCATTCGTAGATTGGCCACAATCGGAGAAGTCTAACTGAATGTTTAGGTATATAAGCTAGTTCTCTCTAGATTTTTCTCGATTGAACCCAATCTGTGACTGTTTGTTTAATATTTTCAAACATGGCTTCATCTTCTCCTGAACACTGTAGATGGACATACAATTTATATGTACAGATAGTAGAAAAGTGAATGACGTCTGAAATTGGAGCTAACATTCTAGGCATGAAGTCAACGTCAAGATATGATGCTAGTTTTTGCTATGAGTGAGGAAAACCCTCTCGGCTATTATTACACGTAATTGAAAAGTGTGAACGTTTTATTGGCACCCGTCTAAGTCACTCGCTGATCAATTAAAAGAAACTGATACAGTTGATTTCCGGAATCCCTCGATGCTTTTTATCGTGTATAAGCTATTCATAGTAAGCGCTCTTAATAGCATTGATGAAGCACTGAACACAACGCGGCTCTCCCGCAATGTGTGGTGTGTGCTTGAAATGCTGTCACTTTTCATTCTCCGCACGAGAGTGCTTTGTTATGTTGAGACGGAACCATTAAATAATGCTTTGAATAAAGAAAGACTCTATTGAGCGCTTAACATGCAATTAAATGTTTTTAACTTTCATTTTTGTTGATCAAAATTTACAACAGGTGTAGGAAATGTCTTACAAGAGAAAGATTCATTTACGGTGAATCATAGCATTTATAACATGGATATTTTCGTACGTTGGTTTATTTCCATGACAGTAATCGAAGGCTAAGAAGAGGGATAGTGGTGACTGAGAAATTTAAGGAAAAAGGAAGAAAAAGGTATAAGAGGACATAGTTCTTTTTCTCAACGCTATCCATTCAGCTTTATGTCTTTGGAAATGGACATTTTCTCATAGATCAGAGTTTGTACGTGTTGCAGATTTAGTAGAACTTTTATCTGGATATGACGTTATTGCTCAGCGAAAAAAATTTCGTTGTACATCTTTAATGCAGGCTTTACATTCGGCTAATTAGTAGCACATGTGGCATTTGTCTTTTTTTGAAGGTAGTTCATTCAATCTTATGTCTTTATAGCCATTTCACGATAAGCTAAAATGTTTAAATGTTAGACTTTTGAAAAGTTCATATCCGAAAATAGGCCTACTTTGTTCATAAACGCGAATAATTTCTTCGGGCTTTCTAAAGTGCAATATTTTTATTCTGCAATAGGAATTCCAAACGAGTTTTTAGCAACATGTTTTACTATTCGCATAACTTTATCCAATTATAGCCCACTGTTTTGAAAGGCAACTGTAGACAAAAACCAAATAATTACACAGTTTATTTCAAACACTTCACAACAGAGTTTGGGTTCTAGTTGACGGTTGCAAATGCCGATGAGAAGTGCGAGGCAAACGGACCCGATTCCAACATTTGAACCGCTCCATTCACTACACCTTACCACATCTCTCTCGACCAATTAACCATGATGATGTCGTGGTCTATAAGTGTTTTTTTTGACAAGGTCTGGAAAGAAAGCTAATGATTCAAACAGTGAAACCTCCTGAAATTGACAAGTGCTTAGCGTCAATCGCTCCGACATTTTTATTCATGCTTATGTCACACATATCTTGCTGTTAGAGTGCATATAGCTGTCACCGTGTTGTTGAAGACGATACAGTTCTTTGAGACAAAATTTGAGCAATTGAGAAAATAATTTCCGTTAATGTCTCTTTTGCGTATCTGTATTACTTCACAATACAATGGTT